GTGCGGGGTCGGTGGGCAGCGCTTTGGCTGCAGGCGGGTGCAAGGGGTTGGGCCCCGATACTGCTAGGCGGACTGCGGAGCAAGAGCCGATTTGTGACTGGCCCTGAGGGCGTCCTCTGTGTGAATGGGGCTTGTTTGTCTGCAGGGCCTGGCGAGCGGGCTGCAGTCGCATGTCTGCAACGACGCCCAGAACTCTCCAGCCGCCGATGCAATGGTCCCCGATGCGTAAGCCCAGGGTCTACGCGGAAGCTGCGCACGCACCTGTACCGCTGCTGCGCCGCCTTGTTCAGCATCTGCTGGCGCCTCAGCTTCGCCTCTTGCTCCTCTGTGTTTGCGCCGCCCGCAGCCCTGGACCCCCTGCGCTTGCGCGCCGACGACGTCGGCTCTGGCGCTGAGGACTCCTGCTGCTGGCCCCCATCGTCGCCAAAACCATAGCCGCCGCTGCCGCCATCCTGCTGCGAGCCACCGCTGAGCTCCCCCTCACCACCGCCGCCGCTGTTGCCACCCAGTCGCATCGCGGCGGGCTGAGCGTCCTGGTCGCGCGCTCTCGCCGGCGGCGCTGACCCTACTTATCCAATGCCGCTCTTCTTGGAACACTGTCAAACACCTCAGGGGCCTTCAGGTTTCGAAAGCGCTCAGAATCCAAGGCCGCTGATCGCGTGCTTTCAGCGCGCCCCGCGCTCGCACAGCATGGAGCTGGGCCCGGGAAGACGGTTTAAGCACATGCAATTGCGCTAAGTCGCGGGCCGTGCTGTCTGCTGGGGAACTGAGAAACTTGGGCACCACCCAAAGACTTGCCCGTCACCGGGCCCACCCGGGTTCTATTGAGTGGCAATACTCAGCGGGCCCGTAAGTCGGTGCGGGGCATCCCGCGTCGCTCCCCCCCTCTGTTGTTGTCCAGCGCTGCAGTGCCGACTGTGACCGCCCCTCATGTCATGGCGGTGGGGGCCCATCCAAGGCAAGGTCGTGCCCAACATGCAGGCGGGACGGAGCTATCCGAGCACAATCACGCCCTTGAAGTTGAAGGATTGCATGGCAGCGGCTGCTGCAGGGGAGTCCCGTACAGGCCGCGCAAAGGCGTCCCGCCAAGCACGCAGGTTGTCACAGGCGACCGTTTCGCCTGTCCCTGCCAGGAGCGCTGCCCCAGCGCCATGGGGGGCGCATGGGTTCGCACAATCCAGGGCAAACCTGTGATTTAGGATTGTATGGGATCGCATGCATGCCATCTGAGGGAACCAGCGGGGGGACCCTGATGACCCATGATTCTACCAGCTGCTGCTCGTTCTCGTGACAAACGACTGCAACGTCCGTGACAGTTCGAGCTGCATTGAATAGCCAACAGTGGCTCTGACTAGTTTGAAGTGCTGCGGGAATATCAAATGATTCATGGCTTCATCTAGGGTTTTCTGCATGTGGAGTTGCTGGTCAAACACGTGACTAACCACGGATGCGCCCCACGGCCAAAGGGGCCCTCATCCAAGCAGCTTGGGCCATGTGGCTGTGCGCTCCAGGCGCTTTGGCGGCGCCGCTCAAGCCAGCTGATTTGCTGCGCAGATTTTGACAATGGTTCGCATCGCCACACTGGCACCATGATTTTGCCAGCCATTTTCTAACCGACCCATGGTCACGCATAGCCACCCCTTCCGACCACTCGCCGCATCCTCTTGGCACCTGCCTGGACACCCTCCTCCTGGGCCTCGTCCTCTCACAGAGTACTTCAATATTATTTGCCACCCATGAGTCCTGCTCATCTGCTTGATAAGATCCTATTAGAACCAGCACTACGCCTGTACCCATGCCTGCAGCTGCCTTGGGTGGCGCCACGCGCACTTCGACCGTCTGCCGAAGAGCCTCGCATGCATGCTGCCGCTGCTGCTTGGACAACAATCGAGCCTGCAGATCCCCTCCCAGAAGGACTGCCCCACAACCAGGGTGCGTCGACCTGCTCGAGGCTTCGCATTTGCAGGGTTACTTGCGGGGGTTGGCAGCAGGCTGCGAACCACAGGGACTGGATAGCGCAAAACTGAAGGTGAGCAAAACTGGCAGCGCAGCACGCGCGCACGCACAAGTCCCAGCGGGCAGCGAAACAGCAGATATTGCACTGGACCAAATAGAAGTGCGCAATGCGAAAACACAGCTGCGTGGTCCGTCTCACGGGAGGGTAGAAACAGCCAGCGTGAATGGGAGTCCGACACGGCAAAAAGTGCAGGGGGTAGCCATCAATCCCCGTCCGCGGGGCCCACATCTTGTCAACAGGACCCCACCAGAAAGTATGACTTGTCTGTCTGACTGTGGCTCGCCAGGCTGAGTTGAGGCCAGAAGAAAATGGAAAGGAACCTGCGCAACCGTCACTTTTCGTCACCCACCCCTCAAGCAAACAAAGGATGCCAGCGCACACGCCCATGCCGCCCAAGCTGATCCGTGCTGGTCACTGCTTCTCCTCAGGGCGCCCCTCGGCCTTCCAGCCCGTCCAGCCCGCCTTGAAGACCTTCAGGTCGCCGTAGCCGGCGGCCTCCAGTAGGTCAGCCGCACGCGCCGCACGGCGCCCCGCACCGCAGGCCTGCGATCCGCCGTCGCAGGAAATGGGCGGGGGCGCATGCGATTGCGGTAAAATCAGCAGCAGCGGACTGTCATCAGCGGGCAGCCCGGAAGGCCTGCGCGGCCGCCGGGAACCACCCTGCTTTGCAGCCTGATGTTTTGCCCAGTCACGTGCGTCACAGCACCGCATATAGCTTGTATCTTGGGCGTCGCCACACCTCACGTGGCTGCTGACAGGGCAGGCTTGGGTGTTCCAGCCGCATGTGCCCTCGGCCTGCCTGCCCACCCTGCCTTGGGAGCACGTCCACCCACCAGCACAATCTTCGAGCCATTCTCAGGGAACTTCTTCTTGGCCTCTTCCACAAACGAGGCGTTTGGCAGCAGGGCGTCATGGCCTGGGAGGTGAGGGCGCGCCAGAGAATGCGCGGCGTGAGTTCACACCGCGCGCTGATGCCGCACAACCCTGGTCAGCAGCAAGGCCCCATGGCGCGTCACTGTCTCTCCACTATCAACCCTGTTAAGCCCAGTGCTGTGGCCGGAGCGCTGCTCTGTGCCGCCGACGAATGAGACGCGGCCGGCGAGAGGCGCGAGCGCAGCGTCGATGCAAGGTCGGCGCCTGCACTCCCAGCGCAGCGCACCTGCGCCGCCGCCCGGGGGCTGCACAGCAACCGGCAGGTTGATCGCGCCTGGGACATGGCCCTCCGCGAACTCCTCAGGTGTCCTAATGAGCGATTGGAATTTGTTGGGGACGGATAGAGACAGGCAGGTCGGGCGCGTGGGCATGGGAGGCTCAGCGGATGTGCGCGGCATGCCATGCGTTTGGCTGATGCATGGGGTCGTTGTTTAAAGCTGGGGTACACATTCCCCCAGTTGCAAAGCACTGGCCCACTGCAACAATCACAAAGTGCCCTGTGGCCGCAGGAGCAGCACACGTGCTGCTGCACTCAATCTCATGTGTGCAGGGCTGAGAGCAACCCGCGGCAGCACACCTCACATCCACGTAAGTGAAGCCGCCGCCAGCGATCAGGTCTGCGGTCTCTTGAGCACTGACAACCTTCCCCTCGGCGGGCTTTGTGGCGTCCGCTGCTGCGGAGGCGGCAGGGTGTGCCGACATAGGGGCGCGCACCGTCTGTCCGTTCAAGTTGCGATGTAAGTAGCAAAGCGGGATGCGGAGCTTGCACGTAGTGAGCGTGGTTCCACGCGTAAATATGTATACTTGATTATCTTGCTCTACCGAGGTCTCGTTTGTCACCCGAGTGTAGTCACTCGGGGCATGACAGGAGGGCGGATTGAAGCTTCATCACATCCCCCTTGGGGGCGCAGAGACCGCCTCAACGAGCCGCCGATCAGGTGAAACAAGACTTTTTGGCGATCGCTGCGCATTCCGCGAGCGGTTGAACGCGAATCCGTGACCGCGCCATGGGCTGCCTGGTGCAGTGTGCACACCTTTGGCCCTAGGACGAGCCAGCTTATCAGCGACCACGGTCCAGGATCACAAGTATCATAACTCCTGCGCGGGTAAAGCGCCGTATGTGAAGGGATGACCCCGTTCCTTGGACAGGAGGGGGGCGATGTTGTTTTGGAGGGGTTGGCCATGGCCTGCAGCAGGCCAAGGCGCTGCAGCTGCGACCTCGTCTTGCAGCATCAGGCCATCTGCCTCACACACGTGCCTCATAAAAATGTTACGGCCGCAGGGCTAAGGGGGCCACGGCCCCCGGCTCGGCGCGTGGTGAAGGGGGTTGTCACGCCTGAGTCAATATGCAGGGCGGAGGCGGCGGCGGCGGCAGCGGCAGCATGCACACGGACGATGACAGCCGTGACCACCCCCAGTCGCCGCACCACCAGGGCTCGACTTCGGCAGAGCAGGGCGAAGGCGGCCGCAAGCGCGGCCGGGGCCCGAACGTCCAGCAGCAGAGCCAGTCTGCGGCGGCTGGGCCGGGCAGCAGCGAAGACCAGGAGGCGAAGCTGCGGCGCCAGCAGATGCTCAACAAGGCGGCGCAGCAGCGGTACAGGTGTGTGTACAGGCTTGGGGATCAAATCAAGGATGGTGGGGCGAAAAGCCTGGGCAATGGTGGGAATGGGCACGGCCGGCTGCGCTGGGAATGAAGCAGCGGGTGGCTTGAATGCCTGGTCAGCACTCCCTGGGCCGGACACATGAACTCGGCGCCTAGACGCGAGCACAAGGGCAGCAGGCTGCCAACGCCACGAACTGTCGCCACGCTGATGCGGGACACGCTGCAACGCTGAGTCATCACACGTCGCTTGGTTGTGCAGCAGCACTGTGGATCCACCCTTGTCCCCCTCTCCCGCGATCCCGGCCCGCCTCTGCCAATTCCATTCAACAGGCAGCGGCGGAAGGAGCGGCAGCAGACCATAGAAGTGTCTCTGAACCAAATGCAGGAACAGAACTCAGCCTTGCAGGCCCAAGTCATGGCTTTGGAAGCGGCCCTGATGAGCGCCAACATGCATGCACAGGCGGCGGTGCAGCAGCCCATGCTGATGCCCGGCCTGCCCGTCGCTCTCGCGGGCCCGATGATGCTGATGCAGCAACATCCCCCGATGATGGCGCCGCAACAGGGCATGCAGCCGGCGGCGCAGGTGGTGGTGCAGCAGCAGTTGGCGCAGCAGGAGCAGCAGGAGCAGACGCAGCTCGCGCTGCAGCAGGGCAGTGCGCAGCTGCCGCCGATAGCGCCGTTGCAGCTCGACCAGCAGCAACAAGTACAGCAGCAGCAGCAGCTGCAGCAACAGCAGCAACAGCAGCAGCAACAGCAGCCGCAACAGCCGCAACAGCCGCAACAGCAGCAACAGCAGCGGCAGCAGCAGCGGCAGCAGCAGCAGCAGCAGCAGCAGGTGGCAGGGCCGCCCAACGCAGACTGGCGGGCCTCCCTGCGGCCACAGGAGGGCTCTGGAGGCAATGGCAGCAGCACCGGCGCCAGCCCTGCGACAGCCGCGCCGCTGTCGGGCGCACAGGCGCTGCACATGCAGAGGGCTGCGGCCTTGAAGACGTTTGTCCAGGAGCACAACCTGTGGGCCCTCCTGAGGGCAGGTGCGGGCATGCAGGGCTGCTCAGCAGCATGCAGTGTCAGTAGCCCGTCTGGCATGAGCGGTGTGCAGTGTCGCTCGTTGCTTGCATGTGCCGGCCACTTCCTCTGCATGTTTTTGAAGTGTTGTGTGGGGGAGCCTCAAGGCCCACAGCAGCTGCCCTAAACCCTAACCCCTAAACCGCGGGAACTCCACAACCTGAGCTAGCTACAAGCCACATGAGGCAATCGAATGGTAGCAGTGGCAAGTCGGCGCGAGATACGCAGGCTGCTGTCTAGCCAGGCAGGCCAGCGCGCTTCCGCGCTTGCTCGCTTGTCAGCGCTGCCATCTCAGCACAACACCAATATGGCGCCCGCACTCGCTCCTGCCCCCCGCCCCGACGCCCAGGGGAGCCTCTCAACCCCTCGCTGGCAGGCCAGCTCAGGGGTATGGTCAGCGCCTGCGCCGAGAGCTGCGCCGCCGCGCTCGACGTCGGCTCGCCCGAGGTTGCGTGGCCGATGGGCACGTCTCACGACGACCTCACGCACGTCGCTGCCGCCGCCGCTGCGGTTGTGGTGGGCGCGGCGGCCGCCCAGGCGCCGGGCCGCACGGGCGATAAACAGAAGTGGCTGCAGGTGTGGGGGCTGGGTCGGGCTCGCATGCGCGTGGTCTAGAACCCAGAGGTAGTGCTCTTGGGCATCCAAGCTTCACATTGCAGAGGTGCCTGTGCAAATATATAATGCTTGGCCGCACACTTCCAATCAATTTGCTGCAACACAGGGCGCAATCAAATATGACCTGGAAACATGTATGACCCTTGTCCTTGTACTATCACTGCTGTTGAAGCCACCTGGATGCTCACGCATTGACACCACTGACCGAAATCGCGCCCACACCCATGATTCCGACTCTGGCAGGTGGTTGCTGACATCAGCCTGGGTGACGACCAGATGTGCGAGCTGCTGCGGCTGCGGGCCGAGCTGCTGGAGGGCCTGGGCCACTGCCTGGCGGAGAGGAGGGCGCTCGCGGAGAGGCTGCTCGCATGTGGGTGTGGGGAGGGTCTTTCGTCGTTCAGCGCCCCTGATGTGTGGCATCCTGCTGACCAGGTCAAAGCATGTGCGGTTGACCGGTGCTGCAACTCCAGCCCCTCATGCCAGGCCACATTAATGACCATGTCGCAGCCTTATTTATTGGCTGTTCTGGCACCACTTGGGCAGCGTCAACTCGAAAAATATCATGCAATCAATCATCCTCTTGAGTGCTGCTTTCCTTCATGCGACGCTGCCGCCCGCCCCAGGCTGCAGCGTGGCGCTCGCGCCCGGCCCGCCCGCGACGCAGCTGATGGCCGCGCAGCAGCAGCACCAGCAGCATTTGGCGCAGCTGCAGCAGGCAGGCTATGTGGACGGGATGGCCCGCAGTACGCTGTCCATCCGGGAGGCAGTGCTCCAGCTGCAGGTCGGTGGGGCTGTGCCATTGTGTGGTGTGCACGCGTGCATGTGTGTGCGTGTGTGTGTATGTGTGTGTGTTTACGCGTGTGCTAGTGCATGATGTGTGTATTACTTGAGGCCCCACAATGCCAAGCTGCAACTGAAGGGCCAGGGAACGCCATGGCTGGCCGGGGGTGCAAGCTGCACCTGAACCTCTAGGCGATGGTTGATGGCAAGCGCGCCCCGCCCATTGCCACAATTTTGTTGCGTCAGCCGCCCTGACGCGAGCCAAATGCTGCCGGACCCCTGATGACCCGCTCACTGCCCCCACGGCATGTGTGACCTCCCAGGCCGGCATCGCTTACGAGGGGCAGCTTCTGCGCGACTTCACGTCCCAGATTATGACGGGCCTGCTGGCGCCAGAGCAAGCCGCCATCATGGTGGCACACCACCCCAACGGCACGGGTGAGCAGGGCGGCGCAGCGGCGCCTGGCCTGGATGTCCCCTCGCTGTGTGGAGCAGAAGTCCAGGCTGTGTCGCTTTCAGTACGAGGAAGGCTAGGTCTCAGCCTTGGACGCATCGTTGCCTCTGCCTTGAGACGCAAAATCTTCAAGATTTCTGCCGATTTTGCATTCCAAGCATACCCGCCAGCCATCATGCCAGGATCTTTCAAGAATTCCTGCCCACCCTGTGACTCGCGCAGACGTCCTGCAGCTGACCAACGCGCTGAACGAGTTGTGGGAAATGATGCCGCGCTTGGGCTCTATCTGCAACCCTGGCATGCCTAGCGCCGCCATCATCACCGCCGCGGCGGCCGCCGCAGCCGCCGCGATGATGCGGGGCAACGCCGGCGGCGGCGGGGGCGCCGCGGCCGGCAACAGCGGCGGGAGCGCAGGAGGCGGGGGCGCGCGTGCGCCCCCGCAGCAGCAAGGAGGCAGGCCGGGGCAGCAGCAGCAGCAGCAGCAAGCAACACAACAGCAACAGAGGCAGCAGCAGCGGTGGCCCTATGAGGTACACGCGCAATGTGTCAGCTCGAGCGGCCCCCCGACGCTCACGGCCGGGCCAATGCTCTCGGGGCCCGACGCAGCAGCGGGAGGGGGCGCTGCCGCGGGAATAGGCAGCAACCACACTACCCCGGTGGCGACCGACTCCGGCGGCCGCGGCTCCGGCGGCGCCCCCCCCCCGGCGCCGCCGCTGGGGCCGCCGCCGGGCCCGTCGCCCGTCGCCGCCGGCCGGCCGCGGCGCGGCGG